GCGGGCGGCCCGCGTGGTCTCATTCAACCAAATGGCTGACATCCTAAAACGGAATTCGAAAGAACACGCGCGCAGATTGCTTGAAAGCGAAAACCGGGAAACGAATGAACTGAGTAGGTTTGCGGGAACCTCGATCCTGACAATATTGCGAAACAAATGGCCGTGTAAGGATTCCGACATGCTCGCCCGACGACGCGCGCGTGTGTCGTTTGGCACGATATGTTACCAATAATGCTTTGATATTTTACACGCGTGCGCATGACACTATTTGACACAAACGACGGGGACCGATAAAGGGTACGCCCTGGGATGCGATAGGCACGAATGATGCGAAATTAATGATGAACCAGGATGATATCTAAAGTGTACCATATCCGGGAAGAATGGTAAGCCCTGGGGGTGTGTAGAGACTACATTCCTTCTGGGAAAGGGAAATCTTTGTGGTGCAGCCAATGTGGTGCAACCTGGCGCAACCTGGCGCAGAACAACGCAACACAAACAATGCAAAACAATGCGTTGCAGCGCCAAGCAGGGCACAGCAGTGCAAAACAACTCAAAACAAAGCAGCGCAACGCGGTGCACAGCCAGGCAACACCCAGACGACGGACGGCGACGAGGTGGCGACAGGGCGGCGACAACAATTCGGCGGACCCGACATCAGGGCCCAGACGACGGGCGGCGACAAGGCGGTCACAGGGTGGCGACGGCGACAAGAAGGTGGCGAACCCGACACTGGAGCCTAATCTCTCAGAACAGACATAGGGGGCACACGTGCAAACATTCGTTGGGGAAACAGGATGGACAAGGGGAGACCACGGCAGACAGTGGGAGTCAATGGGCGACAGTGGGAAACAGCGAGCAATACAGGATAAAGGAAGTCTCTCAATCCAAATCCTAAAACGCACCATCTGGCTTCCTGAAACATGATGCCAGACCATTGCAAACCAACTGCGTCGGGAAACACGACTCGGGACGACAAGACGACTCGGGACGCGTGAGCATCGTCATCAATGGAGTTCCCAATGGGGCACCGAAGCATGTGAGGGGGGTGCCAAAAGGGTGGGGTTACGCATGGGGACGCTGCCACTGGGGCCTTTGGTGGAGCTTCCTATGGGGCCACGAAACATGTGAGCGGTGTGCCCACATGGGCGGGGGGACTCATGTGAGCACTGCCGCTGAGGCCTGTGGTGGAGCTGCCTGTGGGGCCACGAAGCGTGTGAAGGGGTGCGTCGAAATGGTCGGGGGGAACGCAGACGCATACGAGCACTGCCACTGGGGCTTTCGGTGGAGCTCCATGTGGGGCCACGAAGCGTGTGAGGGGTGTGCCGACGTGGGTGGGGGAGACGTACGCGAGCACTACCTCTGGGGTCTTCGGTTGAGCTCCCTATGTGGCCACGATGCGTGTGATGGGTGTGCCTCAATAGGTTTAGGGGACGCATGTGGCCACTGCCACTGGCTGCCTTCGGTGGGAGCTCCACACGGGATGGGGCGAAGAAGCGAGTGAGGGGTGTCCTGAAACGAGTTGGGGGTGGTCGCATGTGGCCACTGCCACTGGGGCCTTCGGTGGAGCTCCCTATGGAGCCGCGGAACGCGTGATGGGTGTCCCGAAATGGGGGGGAGACGCATGTGAGCACTACCACTGGGAACTCTTTCTGAGGCCACGAAGCGTGTGAGGTGTGTGTGTGTGTGTGTCCTCCGAAATGTGGCCACTGCCACTGGGGCCCTCGGTCCAGATGGGGCCACGAAGCGTGTGCAGGATGCGCCGAATTAAGTTGAGGGGACGCATGTGGCCACTGTAATTGGGGCCGTCGGTGGACCTCTCCATGGGGCTAAGAAACGTGTGAGGGGTGTGCCGACATGGACATGCGGAGGGGAGGGGGATGGGAGGATGGGGGGAGGAGGGCGAGGATGAGAAAGGACGCGGGGCGCGTCTCTCGAAAACGAAGACCCAACACCACAGGACAGTTGGGGGCAAAACGGCACGCCCGAAGTCTGAAGGACGCGATGGGGGGAGGCGCTGGGCGCTGGTTCGGCGGTGCGCGAGGGGCCGATTGCTTCGCACTCTCGCGCCGCCCCCCCCCCCCCCCCCTCCGGGAAACGAGCAAGCCTCCGACGTCCAAGCATCCGAGCTGGGCAGGCCGATGGGCGCCAGGCGCAGGTGCCCTGGCGCCCACGCGGGTTGCCTGCAGTGAGGAAACGCACGGAGGTGGCGCGAGGGGGGGCCGTCCATGCGTTCCTGCATCTTTGCCCCTGGCTTCTTCTTGCGAAGATGCTGGACCTGATGTGGCACAACCGCTCCTGCGCGCGGTGGGCGAAGGGGACCACACGTGGGCAGATCGAGGCCAAGTGCTTCAGCCCCTGGCCAGCACACCAGCCGGCCCAACCAGCCACACCACCCAACCCACAGACCACCCAAACGGCCCCACCAACCCAACCCGCCACCACACCAACCCGCATACACCTGCCCGCCACCACACCAACCCGCCAACCAGCCCAACCCGCCACCACACCAACCCGCCTACCAGACGTGGGCAGACACGGCAAATTCAGATCTGGACCCCTGAGAGGCACAGTTCCTGGGGCCAGCCAGCCGCCCCAGAGGGCGGGCGGAAACAAGAGGCAGGCGACCCTCCAGAGTGGACCTCCGAGGCCAGGCTCTTGTCCACAAAGCGAAGCTCGCCCGCCCCTGCCGCTTCCCGTCGGCACCCCGCCTTGACATCCTTTGTGGCGCTCGCGCGCGGGAGCCCAGGCATCTAGTTTACCTGCGCCTTTGTACCCACTGGGAGCTGCTGCAGCTGCTATGCTCTGACCCGCGAACGCACTAGATGGTAAAGCTACGCGGGGCCTCAGGCGCCCCTGCTGCAGCACCTGGGGCAAAAGCCACGTGGCAGCCCGTCCAGGACCACAGTGCGCAAGAGCACTGCGCCAGCCCGCGCGACTCCGCCCGCACGGCCACGCGGGTTGGAACCGGTCGGGGCGCGTGAGCGCGCCGCCGAGAACGGGCCCAGCTGCAGGGTCAGACGTCGCTGGTCCCCGGGGAGGCGGAGCGCAGTCTCGGGGGAGGCCACGCTGGCCAAATGGCCCTGGGCGGCCGAACGCGCACGCCCCACAGGGCACAAGGAGGAGAAAGGGGACGTGCGTTTAACAGGAGGAGGGGGAGGTGGAGGAGAAGGAGGCGGCGGGGGATGAGGCGGGAAGTCGAGATGGAGGACTGAAAACGGGGACGAGCAGGAGGAAGAGGAAAAGGAGGACGACCAGAGTAAACCCTGGAAGCATCGCAGATGTTGCAACACACCTGCCACCCCAAGTCCAGTCCACAGAATTCCCTACACATTTGTTTTTTCGCCACAGCAGCCCCCCCATTGAAAAACGAGAACCGTTTGTACAAAGAACCCCGCTGCCATTTGCAAGCAAACGCGTTCCTATCGGTGAAACTGAATAGCACATTTGCGCAGATGGTCAACCCAAACTTGACGAAGAGCCGTCCTCCACCCGTGAACGTGGTTCCTGTGTCCACCTCCAGGCCGGTCCTAACGGAATCTCAAGCGAGAGCCACACTTTGAACAGTGGCCGCCCTCCTTGTAGTGGTTGCAAGAATTCAAGAAGAACGCTCGCGGAACTGATGCGAGAGACCAATTTTGAAAACGAGACGCCCTCCAGCTTAATAACTGGTACAAGCTTGTCGGACGAATTTGCGCGGCGGCGAGGCAAAAGCCCCATATTGAAATAGCACCTGGCTCTCCACCTCTTTAATTGTTGCAAGCTCTTGCGACGAATTCTCACGGGGCTGAGGTGAGAAGCTCTTGTTGGAAAGGAGCCGCGGTCCACACGTGTGACTGCTGCAAGGGGCCAGATAGACGTGCGCAGCGCAAAGGTCACAGCCCCATCAAGAAAGAAGTGGCATCCACCGCTCCAGCCCCAGCAACCTCCTACTATTGATTAGCGGTGCGATAAGGCGCGAGCCCCATACTGAAGGCCACCCACCCCTTTCCATCCTCGTCACCAATGCGAATGTCAAACTTGTTGCTCACGAACGACGCGGGCAGCCGCGCGCCGTCAAACAGGCCGTAAAGCGAGAGTCAGGCACAGCGCAATTGCCGCTGGCGACGCGCAGCAAAAGAGAGCCACAGGAAGAAGAGGGCGAAAGAGCAACGAGAAGAGACAAGGGATGACAACGCGGCGGGTGCGAATGACGGACGCGAGGAACCATGAAAGATGAGGAAGTCTGGAAAACGCCCGGCCAGCCGAACCGACACGTCTCCTGGTGCGACGGACACAAAGGAGTCGCATGCCAGGGCGAGGGGAGGAGGACTGGGATTCAGAGGAGCAGCAGGGGGCGAACAAAGAAGGGATGGACGAAGACGAGGGCAAGGAGAGCAGCGGAGCAAGGGTGAGGAAACGAAGGGACGAGGATACAAACGACGAGGAGTAGCGAGCGAACGAAGATGAGGGGGATGGAGAGGACAGGGAGGGGAACAGCTACGACGATCACGGAACGGTCGCCTCGAAAACAGTCGCCGCGGCACGAGACCGCGGGTCGTACGGACGACGACAACGAGGAACGAGGGAAACAACGAGGACGACCACGACGACGAGAACGACAAAAGAGACGACCCCAACGACGGCGGCAGCGGCGGTGGGGACGACGCCCAGGACAATGACAACGGCGACGGCGGCGGCGACGATGACCAGCACGAGAACGAATATGACCACCACGATCACGACGACGACGACGACGACGACGACGACGACGACGACGAGCCGACGACGACGACGACGACGACGACGACGACGACGACGACGACGACGACGACGACGACGGCGGCGGCGGCGGCGGCGGCGGCGACGGCGGCCGCGGCGGACGCGGCGGCCGCCAACAGGTGTCGACCGCCGCCGAGGCGCCGCCGCCGCCGCCGCCGAGGTGCCGCCGAGGTGCCGCACGGGGGCGGCGGCGGGCGGCGGCAAGCGGCGATGCCCGCGCTCGTGCGAGGCGGCGGGGCCTCGGCGCGCGGCGCGGCTGAGCGACGGGGCGCCGTGGAGGGCGAGCTCCAGCAGCTCGGCGTGGAGCACGGCGGCGGTGGAGGGCGGCTGCGGGCCGGCGGCCACGCCGCCGACGAGGGCCAGCTGGTCCTCGCCGAAGTCGTCGTCGTCGGGGGAGGGAGGATGTCGGACGCTCGTCGTCGCGCGAGAGCGGGAAGTATGCTCGTCGAACACGCGTCGAACTGGAAATCACAAGACAACTCGCCGCTTGGGCGCCACCGCCAGTCCAGACGGCGAGCAGAAATTGGGCGTAGCCCCCCGCGCGCTGGAATGTCCATCCTTCGTCCTCCTCGTACTACTAGAATTCCTCGCCGTCCTTCTCCTCATCCTGATCGTCGTCGTCGTCGTCCTCCTTCTCGTCCTCCTCATCCTCCTCGTCTTCCTCGTCTTCCCTTTGCTCCAGCTCCTCCTCGTCGTCCTCGTCTAGGACATCGTCTTCATTTCTCCTCTTCCTCCTCCTGCTCATCCTCGTTCTCCTAGCACCTCGGTCCTCGACGCCCTCGCTGGCCCGCTTGCGCCTACTCTGGGGTCGGCGGCAGAGGCCATACATTGCGCCCTAGGTTGCGCTATGGGTTGCGCCATGGGTTGCGCCCTAGGCGGCCTAGGATAAAGCCGCCTACTACCGGTTGCGCCATAGGTTGCGCCCTCGGCGGCTGAGAATAAGACCGTCTCCTATCGGTTGCGCCATAGGTTGCGCCCTCGGCGGCCTAGAACCGCATCCGATCGGTTGCGCCATAGGTTGCGCCCTAGGCGGTTGAGAATAAAACCGTCTCCGATCGGTTGCGCAATTAGTTGCGCCCTCGGCGGCCGAGAATAAACCGTTTCCTATCGGCTGCGCCATAGGTTGCGGCCTCGGTTGCCGAGAATACAACCGTCTCCTATCGGTTGCGCCATAAGTTGCGCTCTCGGCGGCTGAGAATTCGCCGGCCCAACGTGCCAGAGGCGTGCCAAGACCTCCGGCTACTGGAAAACAATAGTTCTAATTCGCGCGCGCGGCGGCATCTGGGGGTCCCTAGTTCCCTGGCCCAATAGTACCCCGGCCGGTACTACCCAGAGATGAGTTGTCATTCTGGGCGCGGCTTTCAGGCGCCCCTGAGCTTTCCCAGAGGGCCCCAAGAGTCCCCAAGACGGTCCAGGAGGGCTCTGAGTCGCCGACCAATCGGTCCAAGACGCCCAAGATAGCCTCCAGACGGACGCAGACGCTCCCAAGACGCCCAAAGAGGCCTCGAAGAAGCGTCTCGAGAGGGCTCCAGGAGGCGAAAACCATCGATGTCCCTTCGGTTTTTGAAAGATTTGGGCGTTCTCATCCGTCCGACATATCGCCCCGAGACGGCCGCCCAAGAGGCCTCCAAGAGAAGGCTCAAGAGGGCCCCAAGACGGCCCAAGAGACCTCCAAGACGGCCCAAGATGTCCCCAGGAAGGCCCCAGGAGGGGGCCAGACGGGGAACCCGAACGGGCATTTCGAGCCCTCGGCCCCAAGAGGCTCCCAAGACGCCCAAAGGGGCTCCAGGAAGCAAAAACCATCGATGTTCCTTCTGGTTTTTGACAGATGTTGGCGTTCTCATCTGTTCGACTTCCCGACGCTCCAAAGCGGCCCAAGAGGCCCCACATATCGCCCCAAGACGGCCCAAGAGGCCTCCAAGAGACCCCCAAGAAGGTCCAAGAGGGCCCCAAGACGGCCCAAGAGACCTCCAAGACGGTCCAAGATATCCCCAGGACGGCCCCAGGAGGGGGCCAGACGGAGAACCCGAACGGACATTTCGAGCCCTCGGCCCCAAGAGCCTCCCAAGACGCCTAAAGAGGCTTCGAAGAAGCGTCTCACGAGGGCTCCAGGAGGCAAAAACCATCGATGTCCCTTGGGTTGTTGAAAGGCTTCGGCGTTCTCATCTGTTCGATTTCCCAACGCTCCAAGACGCTCCAACACGGCCCACGAGGCCCCACATATCGCCCTAAGACCGCCGAAGAGGCCTCCAAGAGAGCCCCAAGAAGGCCCAAGAGGGCCCCAAGACGGCCCAAGAGCCTCCCAAGACGGCCAAAGATATCCCCAGGACGGCCTCAGGAGGGGGCCAGACGGGGAACCCGAACGGACATGTCGAGCCCTCGGCCCCAAGAAGCTACCAAGACGCGCAAACAGGCTTCGAAGAAGCGTCTCAAGAGGGCTCCAGGAGGCTAAATGGGCACTCATCGACAGGGCTCCAAAGCGTCCAGGTGCCTCTGGGGACCTCCCATAAGGGAGGTCCCCAGAGGCACCTGGACTCCCGAATGCAGGCAACACGTCCAAATGAAGCAGCACCCGCTCCTCGCCCATCGATGATCGGCCAAAGCGGGCAGCAACAGAACTCGGTCAGCAAAAACTCGGCCAGGCTGAACTCGGCGAAAAGCCGAACTCGGCGGGCTGAACCTGGCCAGGCGCTTAACCTGGCCGAATCTCGCCTGGCCGAATTTGTCCCTCGTCTCCCGGAGGAGGGGCAGGGTAGACAAAAAAACGCCATAAACATAAACGTTTGGCGCTCCGCGCGGATTTCTTGGATCTGCGCTGGATCCTGCTCCCTGGCGCGCGGAGCGCGCGAGGGGCGGCGCCAGAGGCGCCGCCGGGGGGGTTCCAGCGCGGGTCGAAGAAATCCGCGCGAGGCGCCACAAGTTTAGGTTTACGGCGTTTCTTCTTCTTCGAAGGGCGGTCTCAGGGCTCCTGGCTCAGCAGGAACTTCCCGACCTTGAAATCGTTCTCCGCCACGCCGGCGCTGGCAGAGGCGGCCGCGGGCCACGGGGGGGGGGCAGGGCTCGTTGGATAGATCAGTCGACGCCAGCACCAGCACAGGGACAGAACCGGACAGGGATGAATCGGAGATCTCTGAAATCTGGCGTTTCTGGAGGAAGCAGCGGGCGCCTCGGCCTGCTCAGCGCGTTCCACGGAGCGCTCTGAAAGCGTTCCAGATCGCCCTGGATCGATTCGATCCCTGCCCTAGCCCCGCCCGATTCGAGGCGGAGGCTGCTCGTTTCCGTCGCCTTCCGACCAGGGCGGGGGGACTGCGGCGCAAACCAGGCACGTACTCAGACAGTCAGCGTCTTGGAGACACCGGTACGGCGTGACGTGTTCACTCCTTGCGGCATTGGCGGCCGTTGTCGGACCAGGGCTCGTATTGAAACGACAAGACACTGGATTTCGGAGACGGAGAAAATAGATCTCGCTTTGAACCATCTAGGGGCGGACTCGCCATGAAACTTTGAGGCTCCCCTGTTGTTCCTAGGGCTTCCGTGGGCTCCACAGGACATGGGCATCTGACTTGCATGCACGTAGTCTAGCGCCATGGACCCAGTTCGGTTACAGGGAATACCCGTCCCATGGCTCTGGAGAAAGTGCGCAAAGGCCAACCGCGAAATCCGAACCAAGAGCGAGTCGGTAGAGATCTCCCGAGCCATGTAGATATATAGCAGATCGGCGATCCAGAGGTCTGGAGGCTGGGGGCGCGCCATCATCGGCTGTTCGCAAGGGCGGCTCTGGGATTAGGTCGGGCGTGCCCTCCTACAGGCGAATTTTTGACGAAGAACAACAAATACCCCAAAACGTATACAAACATAATTAACCACTGTAAAACAAATCATCGTCGCCAGACAATTGTTTGACTATGTTTGAATATTCCTCTTATAGACGGGCAGCGTGGGGCGCGGAAGAGCCCGAACCCAGGCGCGCAGGTCGCCGCCGCCGCACCGCGCTCAGCTCAGCTGCCCCGATACGCAACACGCGACACCGAATGAGCGTTTTCTTATTCGGCGTTTCGACATTGTACGGAAGGGGGGGTAGGGGAGGGAGGGCTCCAGACCTCTGCTGATTGCGACTGTTTGCAGCAGAGCGTCCTCTGGGGGAGCATCCGCCTCCTCGAAGCAGGCGCCCCTAAACAGCCAAGATCTACTCCATGGGGGGGGGAGGGGGGTGCGAGGGCCCGCGCCGATCGTCAAAACGATGAATTAAAACGATCACCCAGCGTATTGATACGGAGCTCAGGACGTAGACTGAAAGCGTAAGTCTGACGCGATGCGTTCGCCAAGTCGTGCGCCAATGCGTTCAGCCGACACGCAGAGTAATGGCACGGACGTTGTGAGCACAGTGCGTGTTGGCGTCCCAAAATGGGCGTGTCGAGGCAGCCAAGGCGCTCAGCGATCCGGGGATGGGCCCGCACGTAGACGAAGTCGCGCGCAGCGCAGCAAATGGGGCCCTGGACAGACAGGGTGCAAGGGGCAAGGGGGGGAAGGGGCAGGCAGTGATGGGACTCACAGGGACATGCCAGTACTAGATGTCCTCCTTAAAGGCGCGCGTCCGTATGCACATCTTGTATTGCATAGTTTCCCGGGCGGTGTGGCCAGAAAGCGCATGCCACGACGCATATTCTATAAAACTTCTCGGTGCGCGCGACGCCACTGGGAGGGCGACGCAACCATAGCATTAGGATGTTAGGGTGACGCCGAAGTGAGGGGCATCGTCCAACGCTCGGACTGCAGCCACCCCTCCCCCCCAGAAGCCAGCCATCCCTTGTGGACGATCGGGCGAGCCGCTGTGCAGGAGGGCAGCTCGGGGACGCATCACCATGCGCCAGAACTCCACCAGCCCGGGCAGCACTGTGCAACTTCACGCTGCCAGCATGGCTGGACCAGTGGTGGCGCATGCCGTCTAGCACAGTCTGGCGGGTGACTCACGCCATCTCCTCCTCAATCAATGGATTCTCCTGGCTCTCATCGGCCAAGTTCCTTTGATGCGGAACGATCCCATCAGGCAGCAGCAGGTCCGCCGCCTCGAGAATGTCCTCGGGCTTCAGCAGCACCTCTCTAGGGGCCCCGTTCGGATACCCCGCGCCGCTGTGCAGGCCGCGGTACACCGACGCCTTGAAGGCACTCATATGAGCCTTCTTATGCTCATTGCCGAGGTGCCTGTCCAGAGCCTGGTCTACGACCGCGCCCTCGCCGCAGACCACCGCCCGCGAACTCTCATCGGATGCCTCGGAAGGCTGGCACCACCGGCCCACGATCTCGTCGAAGACGGCGACGACAACCACCTCGTTCTCATAGTACAGCTTCCAAGGCGTCTTCGCTCGCAGCTGGGCGTTCTGCTTCACTCCCCGCCGAAGGCACTCCAGCAGCTTCTCGCCGCCGCCGCTGGGACCCTCGCCTGGCTTGTTGCCGAATGCTTTCTTCTCCCCACAGTAGAGCGCGAGCTTGATGCCATGAAGGTCAGATAGCTTGCCGCCGAAGACTGCCTGCCCCAAGTCCAGGGCCCCAACTGCCTTCGCCAGCAGCTGGTCCTTGACTAGTAGCCAGCTGTCAGGGTCCGTCACGGTTTTCGGCACGCACGAAGTCCATGAACGCTGGCAGCGGTCTGCGGGCTCGCAACTGCTCGTGATCCCGTTCCCGGAGCACTGCACGTCCTCTGGCTTGCTCACGGTCGAGACCTGAATGGCCGCACCAAGCTCGAAGAACGTCTTGTTCTCAGTCTCTGCCTTGCCAGTGTCTTCGAACACCCTCGCTTCGCCACGGAGCAGCATGCCGAAGTGCTCGTAGTCCAGCACATGTGGGCCCTTCACCTCCATTTTCTTGGCCTGCTTGCTCGCCTCGCGCACCATGCGCCGAGCGATCTGGCCCCACTCCCGCCTGATCGAGAACTGCAGGGCAGGGTCGAAGTTGCCGCAGGGGTAAGAGACGACGTAGCGCTCGAAGCGGTCCTTCGAGTTCGACGTGCGGCCAGAGGCACCGATGGCGCGTTGGAACGAGAGGCGGTGCAGCATGGCCCCTCCCTCCAGGGTGCCGAAAGCGTCCTCCTCCAGCTTGCGCTTCCGGCGCGATGCGCCAGGGAGGTCGTCGCTCAGGTAGGCGAGGGCGAACTTGCCGCTCTTGTGCAGGAGCCTGCCGGTCCCGAACAGGCCGTCGATGGTCTTCTCCTTGACCACGGTGGCGGCGGTTGCCGCGCCCTCCTTCAGGGCCTGGCTGGTGAGGTTCGCCTGGAAGGCCGCGATGCTGCCCTGCAAAGCCGCCGCGCCCACCCCGAAGAGACCAGCGACGGAGCCGGCCAGGTGCGCGGCCATCGCGTCCGCGCTCGGCCACGGGTTGAAGGTCGGCGGCTTGTCGCAGAAGCGCGGGTTCGCCAGCAGCTCGTCGAGGGGGCAGTACCGGCCGAAGGACACCTGGTTGTCCTCCACGCCCTCGGGCACCTTGAGGAGCTTCACCAGCTCGAACTCCTGTCGGGGGCGGCCAAGAGGGGGGCGTCCAAGAGGGGGGGGGCGCCAATCATGGCAGGCGTCACGAGCGCGGCCCAGGGGGGGCGCCTGGGACGCATTGAAAGAAGAGGAGGCGCCATGAAATCTGAGGAGGTATCATGCCCCCCGTCATGATATCTCCCCCCCCCCAGTCATCACCCCCTTCTTGGCCGCCCCCGATCCTGCCGGGGAGGGTTCTCCATCTGGTCGTTCTGCCGGCGGGCGGGGAAGTCTCCGCGGTACTGCCACCCGTAGTGCCTGGCCTGCTCGTTGGTCATGCGCAAGAAGCACATGTCGCTCTTCTCCGACAGCACGGTGAGCTGCTCGTCGAAGCGGAGGTCTGGCTTCAAAGGGCATATGAACGCCTCCTGGTCGCCGGCCTCGTCGAAGTACCTTTCCACGTGGTCGGCGTGCAGCTCGGAGATCTCGCACACCTCGGCCGCGCCAAAATCGCCCTGCAAGAAGTCTGGCTTCTTGCATTCCTCTCCCGGCACCTTCGCCTCGTAGCCGGTCCACTTGGAGTAGGCCTCCTTGCGGAAGTCCTGGAATGCAGCGTCCTCCACGCCAAGGTGGCTGTCGAGCTCCTGCAAATTCGCGTCCTCGCGGATCGGGCACACGATCCACTTGGAGACGGATTCGCTCATCATGACGGACAGACCCTGGTAGTTCTGCCGGAACATCGACGCAAACATCGCGTTCGCCCTGTCGGCCACTGCGCCCAACCCAGCGACCAGGTCGCGCATGCGCGACGACATGCTCTTGTGGCCCTCCCAGCCGTGCGGCATGATGTGGAGTTGCCCGGGTTCGGCGGACCGGGGCGTCTTGTCGTCGCCCCACAGGACATGCAATTTGCCGTCCACGATCACCACGGTGCCCATCTTTCCTGCCTTGACGACGAGCTCGCAGTTGCCTTCTGCCAGGAAGTGGGACTCCTCGCAGCCAGGGGGGTACTTCAGCTTACCGAGGCACGCCACGCGCATGCCGTCCACGAAGGCCCCGTCGTGGGCACTTTGGGGGGCGTACGGGCCTGGGCCAGCCATGTGCTGGTCCAGCATGTCCTGCTCGTCGAGCTGCTCGTCCATCAGCATCGTCGGGAGAGCGTCGAAGAGCCGCTCGTTCATCTTTACAAACATGGCCAGGATCTCCTTCTTCATAGCGTACACCATCTCGGACAGCTGGCACGTGGGCGGCTTCCAGAGCTCCACCATGCGGTTGAGCATGTCACGGGCCGCTTGCTGGTCCCACCAGCCATGGCAGCCGATGTTGTTCTGGTCCGTCATGATGTGCTGGCCGTTGGGCCGCCTGTGCAGCTCGCTGGCGACGCGCTTGCCGAAGCAGACCAGGAACCGCTGCTCCGCGGTCGGAGACATCTCCGAGGCCATGCCACCAGGCTTGTCGATAAAGCTGTGGTACGGGAACTTGGCCTTCCAATCTTGGATTTCCTTCCGCCAGCCCTCGTCATTTGCCTGCCTTTCTTCGAACGAGTGGAAGAGGGCTTGCATGATCCTCCATTTGTCCTTCGTGCCGTGAAAGGAAGCCCATGGAATCCAGTCCTTGACAGCGTCATTAAATTCAAGCTTTGCGTTGCAAGTCTTGGCGTTCATCTGGTTCCCGCCGCAAAATGTTTGGTCGATTGTGATAAGATCCTTGTGGACCATTCCGTCCTTCTTCTCCTCCAACCACTTGGCCAACCCCTTCACGTCCTCGCGGAACTGGCCGAAGTATGTGTGATGTTTCTCTTCGGTCTTGCGCCAGACCTCGAGGTTCTGGCTGCAAAGCAGGGGCACGTACTTGTAGCGCTGGTACAATTCTGCAACTGCCTGGTCCAAGTTCTCCTCGTGGTCGACGATGGACTTCACAAGGCTTGCCGCCAACTCCTGCTTGGCGATTTCCCAGAAAGTGCCTTCTGGGACCCAGCGCACACACACGTAGAATGTGAATATCTCCTTGGCCATCTTGTCGACGTTGTTCGTCTCCAGCTCCTTGGAGATGTCGTTCAGGATGGCCGACTCCAGCTGGTTCGAACTGGACATGCCATCGCGCTCCTCCTGCTGGACGTACTGGCCACCGTGCATGGTCCTCAAGCCACCCCTGTCGCAGAATGTGCTCACCGTGTGCCGCGGGGAGCCGCCCGCCTTTGCCAGGGCCAAGGCTCCGTGCCTGCTCACGCCAGCATCGCGCGACACGCCCGCAGAGACGTTGGCAGCGAGCACGGTGAACACCTCCGACTCTGCGTCCGCCTCGACGGTGGCCGCAGCCTCGGAGCCGGTGATGGCAGCCGCTCGCTCCAGCAGCACCTCCGTGCCGCTCATGCAGTCCTTCGGGCGCGTCTCGGACGTGGAGCACATGCAGATCGGCTTGGGGCCGAAGTCCGTGGACTCCATGCACTGGTGCCCGTACCTGCCGGTCGACCACCGGCCATACAGCGCCGAGTTCTCGCACTTCTTCTGGCAGTCTTCCCCCGCGTCCTTCTCGAGGACCTTGATCCTCTCCTTGTACTCCTCGATGAGCTTTTGGTCGGCGCACCCGAGCAACGTGAATGGAACGACGCACAGAGCAGCACCCCACAGAAGCTGATACGCCATTGTAGATTTAGCAGCAGACGCGCCTGGCCGATGGGGCAGGCGAGGCTGGTTAGAGTGAAGCATTGAGCCTCAAGTGCGAAACCGTTTGTTCAATACACCACAGGATGCAGGATCGGTGGCTCGCGGTCTGCCATGTGATCTTCTGTATGGCCGCCAGCATGGCCTCCCGACTGCCCCTCCAACTTCTCTTCCGCATGTCGGGGGCGCGCAAACATGGATTAGCGATCCATAGACTTGTCGCGCGGTCGCCAAATCCCTGGATCGGGGGAAGTGCCCTCCCTAAAATGCGGCCCGTGCCGCTTCGTTCGGCGGCGGAAATCGGCGACTTCCCGTGGAAACGGGACCCGTCGCTGATCCACGCCCCCTTGATCCACGTTTGCGATCGCCTGAGCATGGGCTCTCGCATGGTCTGCCAGGTGGTCTCCCAGACTATCTCCCCGCATGCTCTCCCACATGCTTCCCCACATATGGCCCCCCGCATGCGTAGGAGGAGGAGGAGGAGGAGGAGGAGGAGGAGGAGGAGGAGGAGGAGGAGGAGGAGGAGGAGTAGAGGAGGAGGAGGAGGAGGAGGAGGAGGAGGAGGAGGGGAGGGAGGAGGAGGAGGAGGAGGAGGAGGAGGAGGAGGAGGAGGAGAGAGGAGGAGCCGCCCCAGGCCATCTCGGCCTGCGCCCGCATGCTCTCCCCCCCTCGCGCCGCCCCCTCGCGCCCCAGGCCATCTCGGCCTCCACCCGCCCCCCCCGTGCGCCACGCTTCCAGGACACACATCGGGCAGCCTTCCCCTGACCTTCCAGAGTGCGTGCTAAAAAAACGCTCCAGAGCTACAGGAATTAGGACGTCGATGCCCTGGTGCTATTTTTGAGCCCTCCTGGAAGGTCAGGGTCCCCCCCCCGTGGCCCGAAGAGTCCACCAGAGCCCCCCCCTCTGCGGTCCCGCGGGTGGTCCTGTGGCGGATCTCGCTGTTTACAAGGGAGAGACGATCAAAAACCGGTCGTACGAGAGATGACATAGTGACCACACGCGGTGGCTTACGCGGGCTTTCCGCGCGAGACGCCAATTACCTTGGACTCGAGGGCACTTACGCGACAGCTTACGCGGGAAGCTTACGCGCCAATGTCGGCGCAGGCGAACGACCCAATTGCTGCGTCACACAAGGCCATCCCGGTTGCTGTCCCGCTTGTCGTGCGCCCCCCAGCACCGTCTTGCCGTGCCTCTGCGCGCAGTGGGCCCAACGTTTCCCCGCGGCTGCTCCGTGGATACCCACCAGTCGGAAGAAGTAGGTAGAAACATGAAGCAGGAAGGCGTTGGAAGTAGATTGGGTCTCCGCCCGCCCCCTGGAGAGGAGGGAGCAGGGGAAGCCACTCGATCATTGAAGTAGGAAGGCGCTTAAAGTAGGTTAAAATATGGGAGTCCAAGAATACCTACTTTCAACGACCGATGAGTACGTAGAATGCAAAGTCTGCCAGTGCGGGGCGAGGCACGAAGGGAAGTGCCCTCGGGGCCCCCACCACCCCCCCCCGAAGTCCGGGCCTTCCCGCGGCCCTGAGCGCATGGTTCGAAATCCAAAAATCCAACATACCATCAGCTGGTCGCGCGAGGCCATGCTAGGGTTGTCTTGCGACTCCTCGGTCCTTCTCAAAAATCCTGAGGGGCTCTCGGGCCCACGACAGTCGAAATCGAATCCTACAAAGTGTTCCGTATGATTTTCGCATGCTCGTGTTGACGGTTTTACAAGCGGTTCAACATGCCAAGAGGTCCCCAAAAGAGCCGCAGGAAGGCCACTCCTGCGGGAATGTTGGGCACGATAGCCTGCACGCTTGAACATCAAACCACGCTTTCGCCAAACATACCAATCGCAGGACCGCCAAAACGAATCTTAGCGTCTCTCGTACGAGGTGGCCTCGAGGTTCTTCCTCTTTATGGTCCTCCTTCAACTCCTCCTCCTCCTCCTCCTCCTCCTCCTCCTCCAGCCCATCCTTTCCCCGCCTCATCCTTATCCTTGCCATCGTCGTCGTCAGCATTCACCATGAACTTCCTCCTCCTCCCCCTCCCGTCCACATCCCCCATCCCCATCCTCCTCCTCCTCCCCCCTGCCTCCCCATCCTTCCCTCCTGCGCAGTGCCCACATGCCCACAGGTTCTCAATGGCCCCCGATACTCGGATGTCGGAGGACTCTGGGGAGCCAGGGGCCCCGGGTGACTTGAGGGGGAAGGAAACGGGCGGACCAGCTCAGGGGTGGAAACATCGACCTGCCATCAGCGATACATCGCAGATACGGTGAAGGCATTCAATAAGGAACCATTGGATAAGGAACCCAGGGTCTGAAAGCCAGTGAAAAGCCAATTGAGGTTTGGCCATGGATACGACCGGTGCCCTCATCAGAGAAGAAATCCCCAAGGGTCCGAAGCCTCCTGGGCACATTCCTTAAAGAACGCCCCCGCCGTACATCGGCGATGGGTCCCC